GCCCTGCGCGCCCCGCGTCTCCACCCAGCCCCTAGCTCCCTGCCCGCAGCCAATGTGGCCCCCGCCCGGCTTTCGGTCCCCACCTCCGCACCCTTCCTGGCCTCGTTCAGTGCGGTAGCTGCGGCCGTGAGGAAAGCCGGGCTCCTCTACTTGACTGCTCTTCCCAGTTTTGCAGGTATTTCGCTTTTATTTCATGCTTAACGGCTACGGATTCCTGTCACTGTTCTTTATTTAATGCAAACGCCAGCGACCCATTGTTTTATGAAGTGCGTGTCTTTACATACAACAAAACAGGGAAAGAGGTGGATAAGACTCATTTGAGTTTTCCTGGAAGTGATTTTTAATGTTTGTAACTTGGTTATTTGAAACTTGATTTATCTGGATTCGTGGATGCAGCAGCCTAAATTCCAGCTTTACAAGTACACCGACTTTACTAACAGCACTAACGAGTCAGGAATGACAGTCGCCAGCAGAGCAGACGCAGCGGCAGTCACCCATCCTCTCAGGGACGCGAGCGGAGGCTGGAGAAACTAAGTGACCGGCGGCGCGCTCGTCTGCAGGGAGGCCGCCCCGAGCCTGGCCCTGAACCTGACCCCCTGCAGCGCGCCCCGCAGCCCCGGCCAAGCGGGAGCCCGGCCGGAGAATTCCACCGAATGTAGAATTTTGATTCTCCAAAATTTTATTAGAGTTAAAGTTTTAGTACTGGTTGGTTCATGAGGCACATTTTTTTCCATTTAGAACTGTTAGCATTAGATAAACATCTACTCAGTAATCACAGCTCATGATAAAAGGGATCTAAATAAGACCATGCTCTAAGGGCTGGTGGGACAGCACTGTCACACCATCTAACTACTTTAGGTTCCATTTGCACTGATGATGAACAAATTTTAAGAAATGCAGCGTTTTCAAAGGGTGCGCAGAGCTTTGTAGTTCCAAATGTAGTGGAGACTTAAGGAAACCACAAATGCCCAGAGTCCTTTTTGGTAGTCAGTTTTGTTTTTTCAGGGTTAGGATTCTGCACAGCCATGGCAGCCAGGATAGCACAGGCTTTGTGACTGAGGATTTGACTTTCCTACATGGTATTACCAGGAGTCCCTGGGACCAGTCAGCTAGCACGTATGCCTAATATAGCAGAAGTAATGATAGGGGCCATTAAAAACAGTCCTTGGCAAGAGGTTTTCAATATTTCATTCACAAAGCAAATCAAGCTTCCTAATTGCTACAACACGGCTGGAAAGCTCAGCTCCTACTAGCCTGCAAGCCCTTGCTCTCTGCTTCCTTGTGTGACCTTCATCTCTGTTACAGGAACAGCTTGGCTGCTTTCTCTAGTTCACTCGTGTTCAAAGAACTCGTGGCAGGCAGTGGTAACCATGGCGATGAAGGCCACAAATTCCTGGAAGTCACATTCGCCATCACCATCGTTGTCCAGTGTTTCCATGACTTTGTCCACAACCTCCTGCTCTTTGATTTCCTAAGAGAGAACAGTCACCCAGCTTGTTTTTAAATGAAACTTAAGGCCATCAAAACATGGTTAAAAGTTGGCTGGCTTAAAAAATCTGTATCAGAAACAACCTAAGATATAAAATACCAAATACCAGAAAGATTTCTCCTGTGACCAGGGAACTGTTGGCCGGGGGTCTGTGCGTTCTCTACCTTACTTTAGGTCCAGTGAGACCTGGGCTACTTGTAAAGATGCTGGAACAACCAAAATCTGAAAACCTGCAGGTTGTATATTTAAAATACCCAGAAAAGAAGAATAGCATCTTGATCAGCCAGAGCATATAACAGCAAATGTCTTGAAAGAAAAAATGAACTTTCGGCCCCTCTAAATTTTTCAGTTTCTGAGTGTGAAAGTTCCTACAGTGAAGGTGTCCATGGATTTTTATGTTTGGAAAGGTTTTTTTGTTGTCGTGGAAGTAACTCTTGGGTGCATGCCTAAATTTTTTAAATGTGTGTTTTTTGCCACTTGAGTTGCTTTCTGGGTGTCATGGAACTTTTCCTGATAGTTCTGCCCAACACAGACGCCAAGCAATAGTGTTGCAGTCTCTGGGGAACAAACACTGTGCGGGGCCATAAATGTGGTGGAAAGAATGTGGCATCGAGCACTGAAGAAAAGCATCAGTACAGCCTGTTCAGAATAACTGCCCCTAGTGCAGCAGAGCTCGGCCTGAAGGAGTGAGGTGTAATGTTCAGTGGCTGCCTGCAGCCTAAAACATGTAAAAGACTGAGATTCCAATGGTGGTTGGGCGGGACGTATAAGCAGTGATAACACATATCAATTGTGTTATAGGTTTTCCTCCAAACCGAAATTACTTTAATAAAACTAGGCTAACAAACGTTCATGGTACCTTGGTATACTTACTTTGAATTACTTATTTTTTATAAATTGTGGTTACCACGTTAAGCTTTTTCTATATTTTAAAATCAATAATAGCAGTTACTGGTTATTGAGCTTTCACTATACGTTAAGCACTTGACCAACACTGTCAACAATCCTTTTTACAGAAGAAACTGGGACTTTGTTAAGTTAGAAGGTGGAAGTGGTGGGACTGGATAATTGAACATGTGAGTGAGGCAGCTGCCACTTGGACTCGAATGCCTGAGAAACCAGTCCCAGAATCAGACTAGGAGATGCCTCCCCGGCCCCGCCTCAAGCCTGCAGGTCACTTTCTCTGCTCTGGTAGTGCCATTCACAGCATTGGAGTGTTTGGGTGGGGGTGAGCAGGAGAACCCCAGCCAGTTGCAGGCAATGGGTGCTGCCCTGTTTGAATCTGGGATTCACCCTGCGCTGAGAGGCTCAGCTGGCTGGGAGGGTGGCTCCCCTTCACCATCACCATGCCCCAGGGCCCTGCCCTGGTGCTCTGGTATCTTCCCTGGAATTAGCTCCTGGTCAGACATCAGTGCACTGGTTCATTGGCTGGCCTTCTCCCCAGTGTGTGATCAATCACTTCAGTGACCTTGGTTCTGGGCACTAAGGGAAGGTCAGGTGCCAGGTAGATTGCAGTTCATTGCCTTCAGGGCACAAGACTAGTGTGTAGTAGTGACGAGGGGTGGCTGATCCAAGAGGCAGGAGCTGGTGGGTAGGAAAGTGAGTCCTCGATGAGGTGTCTGGACATCCTTTTACCACAGGCCAGAGTGGGACCTGCATGGGGAAGGAGGGCTCATCAGGAGCCCTTGTACCACTTCCTAAGTTAGGGTCCTAAATGAAGATGGCTCCTCTCCAACATCTCATATTCCATGAAGCCCCCTGGAAGGCCCCCAGGCCTCCAATGAGTGCAGCGCCCTCATGCCCTTAGGTACATTGTGGCCCTTCATTGATGTGCCAGCCTGGGTGCCTTAGAAGCAGAGGCCATGTTCTCGGGCCTGTGTCTCTCCCAGTATTGAATGTAATGAGTGGTCAATAAATGTTTGCTCAGTAAATAGCATCTTTATCACCATGGTGGATGCTAAATATCTAGCTAAAGCTAAAATAGTCCTTTTCCTCCAAACAAAAACCTATCTTTACCGTATTTTTTATATGCACCATGGTCCATGATAAGTCATGGGTCTATTTTCTATCCATTTTGCCATCATTGCCGTAAGTCCTGATTTTTCAGAGAAACTTCAGCATTATTTGGAATGTGTACTTGTGCCTTTGAGACAGCAGTTTTTCCTTGATGTTTCTACTATACACAAAACAAATGAAAATGAAGACAGTGGCGCTCAGCTAAGCTAGCCTCCATAATGATGGTCAGCCATGCAAACAAGTTTTCAGAAGCACCCAGGGGCCCTGAAACAGACCTGGAATCACCTTCATGGCCGCTCAGAAGAGAAAGTGCGCAGGTGGTTTTATAAGTGGAGAGGAGAATGCATAAACTGTCGATTTTAAAAAGACTCACCTCTAAAAAATGGGAAAGTTCATTGTTGATGAGCTCCTTGAGTTCGGATTTCTTTAGCTTGTGCTTGTCGCCCTCCCTTCCGGAATATTGATGGAAAACGTCAATGAGGGCCACCACCGCCTTCTCCAGCTCGGACATCCTAGGGGTCCACAGAAGAAAGATGCCTGCTCATGCTTCTTGCCTTGCTTTACATGGAATAGCTAACATGTTACCTATATAGACTTCGACTCAGAGGAGGGGGCTGGGCCAGCCTTGGTGCATCTCTCATGTCAAGCTTGGAACAGGGCATTCTGTGAACTCGCTTTGTTGTCACTGGCCTCCCATCTACCATTTAGATACACTCACCCCTCCGTGCCTCCCTTCTCTGTTCCTGTCAGCACCTTGACTAGTTCCCAGGCCCTCTGGTTTCTGGTTGGGTTTGGCCAATGGGAAACTTCAGCAAAACTATGACGGCAGCCCTGGCTGGTGTGGCTCAGTTGGTTGGACATTGTCCTGTGCACCAAAAGGTTGCTAGTTTGATTCCCGGTCAGGGCACATGCCTGGGTTGCAGCTTGATTCCCGGTAGGGGGTGTGTAGGAGGCAGCTGATCAATATTTCCCTCTCACATCGGTGTTTCTCTCTCTCTCTCTCTCCCTCTCTCCCTCGCCCTCTCTCTTCCTCTATCTCTAAAAGTCAATAAAAAAGTCTTTAGCCCGGCCGGTGTGGCTCAGCAGTTGAACAACCTATGATCCAGGAGATTGAGGTTCAGTTCCCGATTGGGGCACATGCCTCTGTTGCAGCTGGATCCCCAGTAGGGGGCGTGCAGGAGGCAGGCGATCAACGACTCTCTCATCATTGATGTTTCTATCTCTCTCTCTGCCTCTCCCTTCCTCTCTCTGAAATCAATAAAGACATATTTTTAAAAATCTTTAAAAAAATATATATGAAGGCAGAGCAGTGAGGGAGTTCTGGGATTGATCCCTGCCTCCTCCCTTGGGCCACCCTCTGCCCTGGCAGGGCTCCAAGTCAGTGACAGTGCAGGTGAGCAGAGCAGTGGCTGCAAGCTGTTAGAATTAATCAGAAAGAACTAAGGTGACTAGGAGCCAAATGAGGGTACACACATGGATAGTATTCTTATATTCTGTCAATAAACAATTGGAAAACAGGAGGAGAATCCCGTTTATTACATATTACTAAAATTAAGTTGAGCATGAAAAGTGCAGGTCCTTCCAAAAGATTTTAAGAATCATAAGATGTAGGAATTTTCTTTTCTTTGAATATTATAAATTTAACTCATTTTTTGACAAAAAAATCCTTACTGGGAAAAATAAATATGGTAGAATTCCCACAATTTTTTTTGGTAAAGAAGGTCAGTGAAATGTTCTTGACCTACCAGAAACAAAAATGTATGATCAGGTTATACAGTGAAGCTGGGTCTGCTACAGGAACAGACAAGTGCAGCAGGAGCCATCGCCAGGTGTTTATTCAGTATCCATGGAGGGGCTGCCTCCAGTGAATGGGGGAAATGTCACTTATTCACTAATAAGTGTTTCTCTGCAGTTGTCAAAGTAAGAAACTTTCTGCTTCCCTCAACACACACCTCATGCTGTGGCCTGTAAACTGAACAAAAAACTGTTTGATCCTGGGGATTAGGCATATTTTACAAAGGACAGGTTTTCAATTGTTTCATAAAACTGAGACACTCAGCCAGAGAAATTTACCAATTTTTGACCTTGAATTCTTACCATTAAAGAATCTTAGCACTTTCATAGTTAAAAATAAATTCAAGAAGTACATCTAATTGTTGAAAAATCATTCCCGTGTCGAATATGTCATGTTTTAAAAATAACCTGGAATAAAATATTTAAATTTTTATTTATTTCTGATTTCCCAAGGGAAAGACAATTGAGGATTTTTGTCTTGACCTGACCTTTGCTAAAGCCACACTGTTAATTATCAGTATACTTTGTTTTGCTCTTAAGTCCCTAATAATCGGATCTATCATATGTAAATAGAACAATTCAGATGGATTCAAATCTTTAACATTTCCTACTTTCTTATCCTTTGCACTCAAATTTCAATTATTTTTTTTTAAAGAAACAAAACAAGCCTCAGTTGGTTAGATTGTTGCCCTGATACACCAAGGTTGCGGGTTTGATCCCCAGTCAGGACACGTACAAGAGTCAACCAGTGAATGCATAAATGATGGAACAACAAATCTCTCTCTTCTCAGTGATTAAAAAAAGGGAGAAACAAAACCAAACCACCGAAAAACTTTTACATCATCCTGATGCTTCTCAGAGTCCATGGTGTTTTGGGGAAGAGGAAGGTAAATTATTTTTGTGTGTGAAGTATGACTAGTGGGATTTTTTTAAAAGGAAAAGCATAAAAATAAACTTCCTATGTTTTAAAACTCCATAAAATGTGATTTTCTTTACAACCATACTACAAGTTAATTAAAAAATTTTTCATGTTAAATTCTCCCCTTTGACTAAGAAACAAATGATGAATTAAAGCTTACCTTTTAAGAGAAATGAAAAGCAAATACCCTTGTTTCTTTTTCACTTCATTCTGTGAGTGTTATTCCTGCGTCAATTAGCCTCTTACTCCCTTGTTAATCTTTTTACGTCGAAAACGAGAACTTTTGGGCTTTAACTCCTTAAAAGGAGTTATGATCGCATGTGATTTGAGGGTCCCCTTTAAGGTAGGGGCCCTACCTACCTGAGAAGTTATAGACTGATGAAAGTTAAACCCAGCATAAACCCCGATTCCTTTGACTCAATTTATAATTCACTTGTAAAGACCTCTTAGTTTTTATGGGGTTTCTGAGTGGGGTCCAGAGGACCCTGACATTTCCCTCTGAAGGAAACGAAGCAGCCCCGTGCCCAGGCCAGGGCAGGAGCTAGGAGGAGAGAAGACATTCAATATTCAAGGGAAGAATCAATATTTGTGGCGCTTCTGGGGAAATGTCAGCGAACCCCTCTCAGCCCCAGACCTGACATCTCTCTGATTTATGGTAATAAAAACACAGGCAAAATGAACCTCTAGCTGTCCAGGGTTAAGGCAGTCATGTCCACACACAGTTGTAAGATTCACACTTTTGAAATGCAGCAATTATCCTAAAGGGGCTTTTGAAACTACCACCCAGTTCTCCAACCCGCCTTCTGCCCCCTCCCCGCCCCCACCACACAGCAGGCTCTCCCCCTCACGTTGTGATCTTGGTCGCTCTTCGTGGTCACCTCCTGACTGCAGCGTCCTGAGTGGCAGGAGTGGTGGGCAGGGGCAGCCTTTTATTCGCTCCTCTGGGCGTGGGCCCCTTGTGCAGTCCCACTGCAGGCCCAGGCAGCCAATGGGGGCTGAGAGCAGCGTGGGGGTGGCTGAGGCGGCCAGGCCTGCACACAGGGCAGCATTGACCAAGCTGCCACCCGGGGACTGCACTTGGGCCAAGGAAGAAAACGGCCTGTGGGGCAGGAAGTGGGGAGTCAGCTTTTTGTGCTATTTTAAATTTATCCATGAATATTAATGTTCTTCTGAAAGCAAGGTTGGGGGTGGGGGGAGGAGAGAGATGGATTAATTGATTCAAACAACGCAAATGTTCAGCCAAGAACGCGAAGTGTCCAAGTGCAGGCTGGCCCATGCTGTTTTCCAGTGGAGAGGCCCCTGAGCTCTCTCCTGCCTCCAGCTCCCCCATCTGGCCCCCACCAGCAGGCAGGATGCCTCATGGACATCTGTACCCTGAGCTAAGGGCTGCCTCAAGAAGCCACTGAGCCCAGCACCTGCAGGGACTGAAATGTTTGGCAAAGTAGATCCTTGATGTGTTTAGGGGAAAATCCTTGTTTAATATGGTTGAGGGCACATGCCAGGCACACCCCAAGGCCTCCTCCTTCACCCCAGGGTGAATGGTCGCAGATTTCCAGAGCTGAACAGTGCCTAGACTTGTCCTGTCCAAGTACTCTGTTCTGCAAAGGTACAGATTCTGTGCCTCCCTGAGACTGAGGCCCCACAGCCGGCCATAGGGAAGCCAGGCCTAGCCTCCCCTCCACCCATCTTCAGTGGCACCCTACCTGAGACGTTTCTAAGCACAAACCCCATAGGCAGGCATTCTTTTACACGATAATTGAAAAAGCATTGGCTCCAAAGTCATCAAAAGATGCCTAAACCAGAATCAGGGTCCTTCTGACTCAGGTTCGCAGTGGCCACGGAAGGATCCAATGCACAAAGATGTCTGTGGACACGGTTGTCTTGTTATCTGTTTTACCAGAAGCTTCTTGTCTAATCAACATCCAGAAGTGTGGCCTGGAAATAGGGCTATGAGCTTTGGGACCTGAGTTGTCCCAGCCTGGACCTCCCAGCCTGTTTCTTATAAGCAGCTGACTGTGGAAGAAAAACGTGAGCCTGGTTTACGGGTGGGTCTGCCGGACACGCTGGTACTACCCTGAAGTGGACAGATGCAGCACTATGGCCCCACTCAAGGGGATGCTGCAAACAGTGGTGAAGGGAAGGCCTCTCAGGGTCTGAACTTTGAGCAGCACATTGGCTTGTCCACTATGTCTGGAGTAAGAAGTGGCTGGTGTATGTGTGTGTATTAATTCAGGGGAGGCTCCTAATATTTGATCAGCAACTTGGGAGGAACAGGATTGGAAACTTGGCTCTGGAAGAGGCATGTGGATGGACCTCTGAATGAGCACAGTCTGAATACGTTTGTGTTCCTAGTGAATGCCCATCAACAGGCACACACTGCAGAAGAGGCTCTGAATTATAACCTGGAAAGTGATTGACCCTGTGGGTGTCAGAGCTGGACAGTGCCCTAGACATGTCTTATCCAAGTGCTCTGTTCAGCCAGCTCTGCCTGCCTCCACTCCAGGGGTTGCCCAGTATGTCCATGAGTGAAGTGACCAAGTGGCAGGCTTGGATGTGTGCATGTCCTCATCATCATGGCCTTCCTCTCACCAAAGCTGACCAGGCTACTGCTGCTGCTGGGTGCCCGAGCTGCCAACAGCCAAGAACAGCGTTGAGTCCTGTGGTGACCAGCCATACGCCTGGTGGATTACTTTGGATTTCTTCCATCACAGAAGGGGCAGAGAGATATGTCTTCACTGAATAGACATATATTCTGGGTGTGGATTGGACTTCCATTTCTGTCCTGCTTCTGTGAGCACCAACATCCATGACCTCACTAAAGCCGTATCCACTGTAATGGCCTTCTGGACAACATTGCATGTAATCAAGGAACTCATTTCAAGCCAAGGAAATGCATGAAATACTTTCATGACCAGTGGTAAAGGTAAAAAACAAGAATAAAAAAGAAATACAGCAAAACTATTGAAGACTCAGGTCCTTCAGAAATGAAGGTTTGGGCCACTCTACCCACCAAGGAACCCAGAGCAGGTTCTAGCTGGGGGCAGAGGAGCTGTTGGATGGAAAGTTGAGGAAGGAAGCCATGCATGATGTTACCTACAACCTCACTACCATTTATATAAATGAGGACTGTAGCAGCTTTGCGTATATTTTTGCTTGTTACATGCGTTTGTTTACTAAACATTTTCTTCTCTCCTCACCAACTTTTATTTTATAAACAAGTTGTTGGAGGTTAGCATTTCAGTTTAATCTTTAGGTGACTGAATTTTCAGTGGAAGCATAACTGAATCTGAGGATTAAGTATAGCGATGTGTACCATGACTGTTGGGTCTGTGCATCTTCTCATTTGGAGAAGAACAGCTTCACTTTTCCCAAAGATGGCTTTTTTAAAAAAATATCTTTATTGATTTCAGAGAGAGGAAGGGAGAAGGGGAGAGAGAGAAACACCAATGATGAGAGAGTTGCCATTGATCAGCTGCCTCCTGCACGCCCCCGACTGGGGATTGAGCCCGCAACCATGCATGTATCCTAGGTTGATGCTCAACTGCTGAGCCACACCCGGCCGGGCTACCTATGTCTTTTTAGGGAGAAATAATTATTTAGTCACTGTAAGGGAGTACAAATGTGTGTAGAATGTTGCTGATGGACACTGAGTAGCCAAAGGGTGGACTTTGCTGCTGTGGCTTTATTGCCTCTCAGGTCCGATTCTCTGCTTCAGCACCTGCATGGTGGCATGCATGGACTAGACTCTAATGTGACTCCTTACAGTGAGCGTGATGTGAAGTTTTGTAGTGAGAGCTTTAGAAGAGGTAGGGGCTTCCTTCCATGTTTTGCTTTGCCTCACTCCTTCACAGTCCTTTGCAGCATCTGGTGGTGCTCTGCCCCAACCACATGTCCAGTGAGGGCAGCCCTTGGTGACCCTGCAGCCTGGCCTGGACCCAGTGGCCATTTCACCCTGATTCTCCTGACATGGACACAGCACACTCCAGAACTGGCATTCACATCAGCTCCCCACTTTCTCTACGTGGCCACCCACCAGCCTCAGTGTGCTGTGCCTTGGAGGTTGTTTCTTATGACCTTCCTGGTTGGTCACTGCAAAGTCCAGGCTTGACACCCCAGCCTGTGCACCCACTCCTTACCTGGGCTTACCTGGGCTCTGTATGGCTGTGTCAAGAACTGCGAAGGGCTGCACTGTTACCTGCTGCAAGCTAACCAGTTGGCATATTCTTGTTTCGCAGATGCTGCAGAAGGCACGAGGTTCCTGGGTCAGAGTTTACTTGCAGAGGAGCCAGTGGCTAGAACTCCATGCTCGCTTGGTTCCCCCAGTCCGCGGCTGTGAGGCGAAGGGCCTGGGTGAGGGTGTGCACCCGCAGGGCACGTGTTCTGGGAGGGCACACTGAGCTGGGGTCTTGCTGCCTCCACATGAGCCCGCCCTTTGTCCGCCTCCTTCAAGGCTCTTTCCTGCAACAGCCCTGGGCAGTGGCCTGGGTAAAGCGTGGCAAGGGCCTTGCGTGCTTGGCATGCTTGGCAGTACCATGCAGGACACTCAGGGCCATGGGGGTTTCCTGTCCCAGCAGGTGTTCCTGCTGCCCCCCTGCCTGTGGACCAGCTCTGGCAGCAAACTTCTCCAATGTGGTATGAACCCCAGGCTTGGGAAGGGGTCCCCCTGCTAAGTCTGTTCTTCCTTGGTTTTCTCCCTCAGCCATAGGCTGCCCTTTGGATTTCTCTGTGCAGTTACTGTCCTGTCACAGTTTCATAATTCTTCATGTTTATTTTATTTATTTATTTTAATCTTCACCTGAGGATATTTTTTCCCATTGCTTTTCCAAGAGAGTGGAAGGGGGAGAGAGAGAGACATCAGTTGGACTGGGTCCAGGGACGAACCTGCAACTGAGGTATGTGCCCTTGGCAGGGATTGAACCCGGGACCCTTCAGTCCACAGGCCGATGCTCTAACCACTAAGCCAAACCAGCCAGGGTAAAACTTGCCCTGTTTAAATTGCTATGTGGTTTCTGTCTCTTGATTGGACCCAGACTGATACATTAGGCAACAAGAAAAATAAAAAGGTTTATTAATTTGTTACTACTCTTTTGTTAGTCTAAAATGATTTTGAAATAAAATCTTTAAAAATATGCTATATGGAAAAAGTAAACTTAGAAGGAACAAAATGGAGAACAGTAGCACTGATGCCTGAAGTCAACAGGTATTTTTTGAATGTATAAAATCCCCAAACTGATATACTATGATCTGTTCCTTTGGTTTTTTGTTTATTTTTACCAACAGAACACTCCCAACACCAAATGTGTGTTTTTTTCCTCAGATCCACCATCTCCTACACCAGCAGGGTGTCCTACAATTCAATACAGTTCTGACACCATCTACCTGGAGTTAATGCAGACCCTGCAGATTAGGGGCTCAGTCCCATAAGACTGCCCCCATAAATTGCAAGTCTTGGCCACATGTACTTCTGGCTGATTGCCTATAAATTGGGGCTCCCATGACCACCTCCTTAGGTTCAATAACTTGCTAGAACAGCTCACAGAACTCAGGAAAGCAGTTTATTTACAGTTGTTTATTATAAAGACTATAACTTGGAAACAAGCAAATGGAAAAGATGTGTAGGGTGTGGTTCCCGGGAAGGGGTGGTGGAGCGTTGTACCCTCCGGGTGCACCACTCTCCCAGCACTGCCACCATGTGTTCACCAACCTGGACGTTCTCTGAACCCCTTCCTTTTGGGGTTTTATGGAGATTCCATTACATAGGCATGATTGATTAAATCACTGGCCATTGGTGAGTAACTCAGCCCTGAATTTGGGGGTGGGGCTGAAGGGTCCAACCTTCTGATGCAGGTTTGGTTTTACCGGTGACCAGACCCCATCCTGAAGCTCTGTAGGAGTCCACAGAGTCACCTCATTAGCATAATCTCAAATGTGGTTGAAAGGGGCTTATTGGGAATAGCAGAAGATGCTCCTCTCACCCCATCACCCAGGGAATTCCAGGGTTTGAAAGCATTGTGCCGGGAAACAGGATGAAGACCAAATATGTATTTATTATTACACTACCACATGATGTAACATGACATTGTAAATGTACACAGCCCACCTAGAAAAGGCATATGAACTGTTGCCCAAACAAGCTTAGGGAGACAGAACCAACAGAGGATGGTTGCTGGATAGCGATCACTACCTGGCTATGTGTGACCTTGGAAGAAAGGTGTCTACTGTGGGGGACACTGGACTGACTCTTCTGGCTTTGCAATCCCTTGTAGCCAAGAGCTATCTGCTTGGTTGGTGTTCGTGGTGCTGTTGAAAAACGCCAAGCAATTCCACCTGCAAAACGGGATAACTGGCAGGAGATGATGGAGGCTCAGACCCTCCCACCTCTAGGCCACAGTCGCTGTCAACGCCAAAGGCACCTCATGTGGTCTAATGGTAAAGGTCTACTGAGGGGTTGGCTCTCCGAGTGGGCTAGGGGTGGGGGTCAGCACTGGTCGTGGTAGGGATGGGGTGCCTTTCCAGGCAGGAGTGCTTTCTTCATCCAGGCAGTGGGCACAAAGCTTCTGCCAAGGTCTTCTCCCGTCACTTAAAGGCTCCTTCTCCCTTCAGCCACCCTTCATCTGCTCAGCAAACCTATGGCACCATTTAATTCAGTTAGCAGACCTAAGCCTTGCTGCGGCTTGGAGGCAGGAGGAGTCATTCTGGCTCGAGTTTTCCAGGAGGAAAGGCTGTGGGCAGCAACACTGTTCTCTTGCACAAAGGACTGCCATGCGCCACCAAGCTGCTCACGAGGTTGGTTACAGTGACCCATACCCACTGGGAGAAAAGGACGCCTGTGTTCTAAAGGGACGTGGGAGAAGGGACAAAGGCTTCTGTTGTAGTAATTGCAAGTATGGAGGTGATGAGAATTAATTATCTTTCCTGTTCTAAAGAAGGCTGCTACCAGCTGCAGGCGGCCAGGAGTGAGGGCTTGTGGCTAGAGTTGTGGGGCTGGGTTCAAATCCTGCCTCTGTGGAGAGACCTTCAGCAAATGACTTAACCTTTCTCAGCCTCAGTGAAAGCGGAAAAGTGTTACCCCTCAGAGGATTGTTGGTGGAGAAAATGAAATTTTGCACACGCGCACGCACATGTCTCGAGTATAGTGTGAAGTGCCTAATCCACTCGATTAGTGGTCATTATCATCATAAAAGGTATATTCTTGTCTATCAAAAGAACATGGACCTGTCAGGTGAACTCCTGGTACAGAAGGCAGACAAAGCAAAGCAAAAACAGGACAGATTTTTTTCTGAGCCAGCATATGAGGGTCCAAAAGTGCAGAATGAACTCACTGGCTAACTTAGAACATTTTGAGTCCAGGAGGCCCCCAATTTGGCCAACTGTGATAGCGTATCTGTATTTCGTGAGTATCATGTTTTATTATTTTTATACCACATCAAATTCCATGAATCCATTTGGTTTCTAACCAGTCGTTAAAAAAATCGCTGCTCCCTTCCAGATGGGCAGCCCAGCGTGAGCAGAGCTGTCGGGGTTTGCTTTGGATCCATGGCAACGTCAGGGCCAGTGCAAAACAGCAGGGCTTTTGTTTTTGTTTTTTGTTGTTCAAGTTTTTCTTTTTTTGTAAATTTTGAGAAGGAGCTGGAGCTGGGAGCACAGTGAGCACGCTTCCCTCAGCCTTGCTGTGTGTGTGTGAGGTTTTTTGCCCAGGGAACTGGGTCTCCTCTTGGTGAGAGGAAGTGCTGAGTCGTTGCCAGGGAAAGGAAACTTGCTTTTTCCCCTTTGGTGGAACTCTCTGCTGCACACATTTATTTGCCTGGAATAGTATAATTAATCTATCATTGGTTTGGAGTATATTTATTGGCTTATTAAGCGAGATTTTCCTGTATGCCATTGGCTTGTGAGATATAATTCCTGTAGTGAACTTACGTTAAATAAATGATTGGCAAAGACACTCTCAGTCTCTGAGCATAATTTTGCCACCAACAAACACCTATAACATGACTAGAAGTGGTGAAAGTGGATGCATATGCCTTGTTTCTAATAATAACTTTCAATATAACGTATGATTTTAGTGATGGGTTTTTTGATAGATGCCTTTTGAGAGTTGTCAGATCCTTTTTCTTATTGAAATGATTGTATAATTTTTCTCCTCTGTTCTGTTAATGTGGAGAATTACATTAATTTTCAAGCGTTAGTCCAAGTTTGCATTACTGGATAAACTCCACTTGGCCATAATGTATTATCCTCAGTATATATTGTTGGGCTTGATTTGCTAATGTTTGGTAAAGGTTTTTGCATCTGTTTTTATGAGGGATATTAGTACTTTTTTCCCTGTACGTCAGGTATTTGTATTGGAATTATGTTTGCCTAATAAAACACTGGGAAGTGTCTATCCCATATTTTCTTAAAATTTTGTTTAATATTGGTGTTATTTCTTCCTTATACATTTGATGGAATTCACCAGTGAAACCATTTGGGGCTGGACTTTTCTTTGTGGGAAGGTTTTTTAAATAGCACATTAAATGATGTAAATATATATATATTATATAAACCACACTTGGACATGGTATGTAATCACTTTATATATCATTGGATTGTTTTTGCTAACATTTTATAGCAGTGGTAACCTGGCCACATAGAACCAGTTAGGAAGTATTTCACTTTTCTCTCTTTTCTGGAAGAATTTATGTAACATTGGTATTATTTTCTCCTTCTATGTTTGGAAGCATTTACTAGTGATACCATCTGGGCCTGGAGTATTCTTCCTAAGAAGGCTTTAAATTATGAAGTCAATTCCTTTAACAGATATAGAACTATACAGGTTTTCTAAATATCCTTGTTCAGTTTTGGTAATTTGTTTTTTTCAAGAAATTTGTGGAATTTAACTTGTTAAATTTTTTCAAAAGTTTTGTAATATGTTCATCATCTTTAAAAAATTTATAGACTCTGTGGTGAATTCTTCCATTCCTCATACTGGGACTCTGTGTTCCTGTTCCTTTCACACGTTACCGTGAAATTTACCACCGTAACCGCCTGTGAGCGCAGGCGATGCACTGAACACAT